CAGGTGGGAGGAGCGGGAAGTACAGCAGGACAGGGGAAAAGCAAATATGAGGTGTGTTCCGGCTGCCTCCGTGGTGGGCTTGATCCCATCCAGCCAGACCCTTGGAGTTGCCTGTGGAACACACCTCAGTATTGCCCACCTGAAGGATGGAAGGGGGAGTATTTCTCCACCAGCTCTGTCCCCTGCTGGTCAAGGATCCCCAAAGGTTTTCAGTCTCTCCCACTACCACCCCTACCTTGTCAGGGGAGCCCCCGGGCAGAATGTGGGAGAAGCACTGTCAGGTACACCCGGGTTGAGCAGCTGCCACAGCATTGACTGGGGATGTGAGGCGGGGCACAAAGGGCTTCCAGAACACACCTCCTTCTACCATCTTGTGCAGTCCTTGCCCCTTAGTAGGAAACCACATGTGTTGAGCGTACTATGTGCCGGCCCTGGGCTAAACACTTTCCATGCCTCAGTTTATCCATACCTGGCCACACCTGACTGGGCAAGTCCTGGTATTATTCCCAGATTACATTGTGAAAACCGAGGTCCAGGGTGGTGAGATGACTCGCTCCTGGTGTGTGGCGTTGTGGGGACAGGGACTCCTGCTCTTACCCAGCCCTGGGGGCTGCTCCTCGGGGCAGCCCGCCTCACAAACCATGGCAGCTTTCCACGGGCTGGACAGGCCCCAGCTCCGGGCCTGGTTCTTATTCGGGGAACCCGGCCAGAAATCCAGCCAGGGACCGGATGGCGTCTTATAATTTCTCTGTATCCCCCGAGCTGCCTAGCACTAAATAAATACTTGCTGACTGATTGACTCATACTGGCCTTGCTTCCAAGTTTCCCTGGGCCCCTTCTCTAGGCAGCCGTCTCCCTCCCTGGCCTTTTGGACTCCCCCATTTTCACCAGCTCCCAAACCCTGAATTTGAAAATGTAGGGAGTGTTGTGTTTCTAGAGATACGAGCTGATGACAGAAGGGGCTTAGCAGTGAGGGTGGGTGGCACTGGAGCCATGGGATGGGAGGGGTCTTCACACTCCTTGTGCCAGAGGGGCCCCCAAAGCAACTTGAAACCAAGAAAAATGTGCACTGACCACTCTGAGGAGATATTTGTGGGAGACCCCATAGTTGGGTGGATAAGGACACAGGCTCCAGCCCAGGCCTCCTGGGTTCATATCCGGGCTGCAGCTGTCACCTTACCTCTCTGTGCCTGAGGAATTTCAGCTGTATACTGTGATGACGATGATAATAATAACCACCTCAGGGTTGTCGCTTGGGTTAAAATGAATTAATACAGTGCCTGGCTAGTGGTAAGTGCTCCCTGAGTATTAACTGTCCTGGTTGCTGTTCTTTTGCGGCCGGGCGTTATAACCCTGCAAGCTCAGTCTGCTCTTATCCTTCTATTGATGTGCAAACAAGGCTCAGGGAAGGCAAATGTTGTGAGAGTTTAAATTCAAAAGCAGGTCAGGTTAACTCTGAAGTCCATGAGCTTCTGCTGCAATCAGCGTTTACACATTTCAGTTGTCTATCTGTTGGTTATTATTCCAGTATTTACGGGAACTATTTATCATTATTGCCCAGCATACTTTAAAAATACCTACCAGGAGAAAGTTGCTTGAGGGGAAAAAGAATTGAGCAGCGAGCAAGGGAGAAAAAGCTCAGCTTTCATAATTGAATGGAAGGACAGTCTGGCTCAAAGTGGCCTCAGTTAAACTCAGCTCAAATATCAGGTTTTCTTAAAAACCTGTTCAGATGTTCCAGTATAGTCATTTCATAAACCTGCAGGACTTGGTACTGGTTTTTAAAATCTCATTCATAACAGTAAAATGGTGTAAGCCTGAAGTTCTATCAACATATAATCTGTGAGTTCTAGACTTAGCTAAGAGGTGTGTCATGTCTATGTCAAAAGTAGTCTGGTTAAACCAGCTGCCCCATTGCCTATAAGGCAGTTGACCCAAGAAACGGCATCTTGGCAACAAAAGGAGCATATCGTGATTCGCAGTCATGAGCGGTCTGCTTGTACTTCTACCTGTAATACTGTTACTACCCCATACCTGCTCTTATTCCTACTTACTCATATTCACAGAACACCCACTATTTTCTAAGTGTGTTACTCACTTTATCTTCAAAACAGTCCTATGAAGTAGGGAATTTTATCTTCATTTTACAGATCAGGAAACCAAGGCCCAGAGAAGCATAGTAACTTCCCGATGACCACCAGTCAGTGAGGTGTGCAGTCACCCCAAGAAATCTGACTGGACTTTCTGGGCTCTCAGCCACTATCCTGAACTCTACTACTCATTCAGAGCGTAAAAATGGGACCCTGTGGTTCCCACCGGCAAAATGCACAGGGAGAGTGTCCCAAGGGGGGCAGTGTTTATAAAACTTGAGCAAGAAAGAACGAGATTCTTAAGGGAATAATAACAGATTCAATTCTGTTCCTATCACATGCCTGTGTCTTTCATGTATGCAACCCTGTGTGACCTTTATAAAAATCTAGCAAAATGGGAATTGTCCATGTTGATGAAAGTGGAAACTGAACCTCAGCAAGGTCAAATGGCTTGGCCCAAACCGCTCAGTTATGCATATGACGTAGCCAGGACTCGGTTTCTCGACCTCTGATTTCAGGACTAGTTCCATTCTACCAGAACTTCTTTGAGGCTCTGAAGGAGACTATATGTATTTATCCCACCTGTTTGGAAATGTAGGTTTCGTTATTATTCAGGTATGATGAAGCAAACAGATGAGGACACAGCTGCCCTTGAAAAGATAGTTTGTTACTTACAGTTCCCAAGAGGAGGGGATATGCCATACAATGCAGGGCTACATAGGGAAGCACCAGTGTCAGTCAGGAGGCAGAGGGAGTGAGGGGAAAAAGTGGGCAAGAAACTTTATTGGTGTTTCCATGGGAAGGAATGGGTGAAGCAGGGTAAGGAAGCTAAGTGGGTTTTGGATTGGCTACTTTGAATAATCTTGGTGAACTCTGGGGCACTGGGGCTGTCCTTAGTTGTCTGATACTCGGCCGCTGGGGTGATTAGGGCAGGAGGATAGTGGCCCCAGTGTGAGAAGTGGTTGAGGTATGGGCTTCACACTGGTTGATTTGCCTGTAAAGGTGCATTCTCTGATGAGTTGTTTGCCATAGCTAGGAATTAGCTAACCCGTGGAGGAGCAGTCCCTTCCAGTGTCAACAAGGCCCCAAGGTGTCAAGGAATCAAAATAAAAAGACACACCTAATACACCACCCTAGAAGAGAGTAGGCATGAGGCTGTCCTTATAAGAAGAAAGTGAGCAAGCAGGACACAATTAGATTGAATGGGTGGTTGGATGGATGGATGGATGGAGCAATAGATATGTAAGGTTTATTCTCCCTGACACCCATAGCTCTAGTCTAACACGTATGGTTGTTTCAGTGGAAACGTCCCTATTTGAAGATCAAGGATAAAGCACAGTCACAAAGCGGCATTCATGCAACCCCTGGATAGATATTTCACCCATTGCTTCAAAATGAAGACCCTGCTAAATGATGTGGAGGGAGATTGTAGGAGCATAGCTGGCCATCTGGGATTTCACATTAGCTGTTATTCCCCGTAACTCTGCTGCCGAGACATCAGATCATGGCTGGTTAGAAACGTGAAGTCAGTTCCCTTCCAAAATCAATAAGAAACTTCTGACTGGGCTATCTGCGTTGACTCGGAAAGAAGAATAAGGATGCAAAGTTAGAAAACCAAAGCTAGAGAATAAAAATTTCTGAATGGGTGCTTTCATTGGTTTGTTGGCAAGAAACACATTCAAGGAAACCAGGTTGATTTCCAATTCCCTTTTTCATAAATTAAAAATAGCTTCTTCTGTTAGACACGTGGGTCCCAAATGGCCCAGGTAATTCATTAGTTCAGATGGAGAAAGCATATTTCTCCATCAGTGAGTTGGACTCATCTCACTGTGACACCCCAAGCTCATAATGACACTGGAAAGAGAGCCGCGTTTCAGCCCAGTCCAGCTGAATTCAGAATTTGACTGTCTGCAACTGGTGCTTTTCCTTGCAGGACATTTCTCCAGAAACTCATCCCCGAGACTAGCTATTAATTGGAGAAGGTTTATTTATCCTATAGGCTTGATAATCAATCATCGGATTTCAGCACTTGTTTTGTGGGATTCCGTTTCATCACTTGCTACAGTATATATTATTATTCATTATAGAAGTTTGTTAACGGTGTATTTATTTGAGTGACTCTCCCTCTAAATAAAGGGGCCTTATAAAGTTTTTTTTTAAATAAAGGTTTATTTTTACATCAGCTATTTGCTTTCCTATGCTAAACCTCTGAGCAGCATGCAAACCGAATTCCTGCATTTCAGGCCGGGCTGGGGCTGTTGGAAGGGTGATAAAAGCAGCTGCCCGGGCCCTTCAGCAGATTTGGTTTTTTCAGCCCTGTCAGTCACTTTCCCTTTGAGAAGGGAACAAGACGGCTGGTAGAGATTAGGGATGGTAATGTAAAAGTTTCTACCTACTGCATAAAATTCTTTCAAATTAATGCAAGCATTAAATTGTCAATGATTTTTCACATAAAGTAGATATTAAACTGTGCATGCCCGCTGGTGTTGGTATAAATTTTTGTCAACATATTTGGCACACGGGGGCTGAGCCTGGGGGGTCAAGAAATGTTTTTAACCAAATTTTGTTGTTTCAGTTGCTCTTTTTACACTCGTGTGTTGTAACTCAAACGTAGAATATTTTCCCAAAAATGAAATTTGGCAGGCCATTAGTCCGTAATGTGGTCTAATGCCTGTGGGTATTTTTTAAACATGTAAATAGCCAAGATATTTAGGTTTTTGAGGTTGAAAAACTGTGCACGCGCTCTTAGCAACTTCTTTTTCAGCTGTATTTAGTATGCATATTTATTGCACATGTGTATTATGAAGCACGCCGATTAGACTGGAGATTAGTTGGGAAAATATACAAATGCCTCTTCACGGGGTGAATATCTTACAGTGCGTGAGTTGATTTGTCTCCTCTTTTTACTAGGGAGTAAGAGGTAGCCCTGAGGCGAACCCTGCCCCCCACGGCCCACTCCCAGAGTGTGGAGACTTCAGGCCATTCCCACTCATCCACGGGGCTAGAAGACTGAATGTGGCAGCCACCCCCAAGCCTGCTGACCGGCTCCATAGCAGAGTAATATCCAAAGAAAGAGGGTGAGCATCTGTATCTCATGGTTCTAAATCCCGTCTCCGGTCTCATTGCCCTAACCTGTACCAATGCCCTGTGGACATGAATCCTGGGCTTCTCCCAACACTCAAGGATCCACACACAGAATCCAAAACAAATACTCTGAGCATAAAGAAAACATATTATAGCCTAATCCACTGTCCAGATCATTGAAAAGTAACAGTTATTACCTCATTTGAAAGTAATCTTTAACAATTAGCTTAGGAAAGTGTTCCATAATTTTTTGCTAGCCTTACACAAACTAAAAATTTTTCATGTAATCAGTTAAATCTGGCAGCATAGCAGCAGGCACTCGTTAGGCTGCGCTGCTTGAAATTCATGTACAATTTCTTCCTTATGCTGATCCGCAGGAGCTTTTAAACTTGCACTGGGATGCTGGCAACATCCCCCAAACATCTCAGACACATTGTCTCTCTGAACCTGAACTTTTTTAATGGTGGTTAAACATGTTGTCTGCTTTAGTTTCCTGTCTATCTTCATCATGAGCTAGCACCTGTTTCCAATAAATTATACTGAGCTGTATCAGCAACACCTTGGCAACAGCTGCCACCCTTAAAGGCGGAGTGCCCTTGAGGACAATACACCTGTGAACACACAGAGTGTTTATTTAGCTGAAAGCCAAAACTCTAAGTTACATAAAGCAATTATCTAAAGCCTAATGTATGCCCATTATTAACACAAAATAACCCTGTTCTTAAAAACCAATAAAAATCTATTTAAAGGATTTTTCCAAATCCAGCTGAAATTTGTACTCAACTAGAGAGCTAGTCTTCACCTGGGACTTAAAATTCTAATGGTGGGCAAGGGAGAGGTTTGTATGTGAGTTATAACATTCTTAGCTCACGCCTGGAATATAGGGCATGAGCATGAATGCGTGGTACAGCCAAAGCTTTCGACTGTTGAGCAAGGACATGCTTATTTAAAATAATCTTTGTTACAAGTCACTTTTTTAAAAAAACATTTGACTGTGGTCTAGAGGTTGGAGAAAGGAGTGGATTGTTTCAGTTTATATTTAAATGTAGGAATAGTTCATCCCAGGATACCTTTCTTTATTTGTACAACCCACCTTTCCCTTATGGTTCATTACCTAATAGCATTACTCTTAGGTAATGGGGTTAGCAATATACTAATAATGAAAATGGAACCAATGTCAGGTAAAGAGCTTCAAACTTCCATCCTGACACATGAAATATATTAATAATGAAAATTCCAGCCAATTATAGTATCTGCTGCGCAGAGTTCAGTTTCTAGAGTGTTTGACCTGAGGCCCTTTCAAGAAATGGCATCACGTATTACATATTCTTGAGCCATAAATAATAATAGAAAATAGCTATTGTTTCTCCCACCTTGAAGACCCATGAAATCTGAGTGATTTTTTGCTTAGAGTTTGTAATATGTTAATCCCTGTCTGATACTTCCTGCTGACATTTAGCTGACGGACCTATAGTCACTTAGGTGCGAGTGTGTTTTAGCACTTCCGTTGGGCTGAAAGCAAATGCTGTTGGAGGTAAGTGCTGATGAATGTTACAGCTCCCAGCTTAGTCCATGTCAGTGTCACTGATGGTTCACATGCAGTGCACATGAGTGAGTGCCTGAAGCCTGAGAATCGGACATTGGAAGACGGTTTTGAAACAGCAGGTCTGTGTTTTATAACAAAGTCCACAGCACACCAGGCCAGTCATGCTTTCCTTAAACTAGCCATGTGAGTGACGATGAGTTAGGCTGCAGTAGATGGAGGAGAGGCTTAAGAACGTGGCACACCATGGCCATAATTGCTTTTTTCTCCTCTCTGCAAATTGCTGCTTCTTTCATTTATTTAGCAACTGTTTTCTGAGCGCTTATTCCAGACTACAAGCTGGGGATACTAAGATGCATTAGACAGATGGTTGTTCCTTTTTGCTGGATTGCAAAGACCTCCTCTGTGTGTTTGAGACATCTGTGATGAGAGACCAAGGTTCTAACTGTGATTCTGTCACCACTGGTAGAGTTGGTCTGGAACAAGCCGCTGGTCCCCTTTCAGCCAGTTTGCTCCCTTGTAAAACATGAAAACCAATTCTTGGAGCATCTACATCAGAGCAGTGACATAAACTCAAATAAACAACTAATGCAAATATATCCTGCAACTTTCAAGCTCTGAGTCCTTTTGAGGGTCCTTTGATTCTTGCGCTTTACTAGCCCTCAAGTTATTTCTTTAGGTGACTTCTTGTGTGTGTGAAGACCCAACAGGAAACTCACAAAATGCAGCCACAGCAGCAGTTTCATTATCAAAACTCCAGCAAGCATTCCAGCCAGACTAATTCCCCACTGGATTCACTTATTGTGTAAGGAGATCTTTCAGCCAGACTTCACTGGGGCGGGGGGGGTGAAAAAAAAAAAATATATATATATATATATATATATATATATATAGAGAGAGAGAGAGAGAGAGAGAGAGAGAGAGAAAGAGAGAGAGAGAGAGAAAATTAAGAAAAATATGTTTTCCTTTTCTAATCAGTATAGCATTATGCTAATTCAAGGCTCTCTCTATAAAGATATAGGACTCCCTCCTTTGATTTATTTTTATGATTAGGGGCCCTCACAAACAATTGTTTGTAAATGTGAGAGCACCCAGTTTGCATTCCAGGCCAGAAGAAACCCAGGAATGGATTTTCAAAGGAGAGCTCATTCCTGTCCCCCTGGAGAATTTATCTTTATTAAGGTCAGCAAATGTAGAGCATGCTTTGCTAATTTACCACGCGTATGGGAAATAAGTCATGAGTACAAGTTTGTGCAGAAGATAAGATTTACTATGTTTTAGATAAACTGATTTTTGAATATTGAAATGGTAATTCAAAAAACATTTTAAAATACTATTGGTTTCTCTGCCTGCTTGTCAGATTTCCCATTGGTGATGAAACCCTGCCAAGTATAGATTTCGTACTGGTCATGAAACCAGAACTGGGCTTGTGGTTACTTGATAATAACTGTGATAGTAAATTCATCCATTAATTTCTTTCCTGTTTCCCTACATGGGTAACATTAAACCAAGATATTATGCTATTGGATGGAGAAAATCATTTTCATTCACACACACACACACACACACACACACACACACTTTGGAATTCTATTAGGCTGCTAATTCCCAAAGACTACAGATGTCCCTCCTATGCCATGTTGGAAGGATAATGCAAAAATTGGAAACGAGGTGCCCTGTGACCTGGGACTATCAAAGGCTATTAGACACAGTGACAGGCTCCATGGAGATGGACAAATGTATTAAAACTGGATTCGTAAAGAAAATAATAAATACAGTAACCTGTATATGATTAATGGAGCAAAACTTGCCCTTGTTTCGAGCTGTCCCATAGATAAATGGAGCTGGGACTAACAAGTGAACTACTGTGAGGTTTTGCTTTGTTTTGTTTTTTGGTGGTGGATGGGGGTCAGTTAGGCTAGACCCATATACAAGGGAAAAAATTAGATCTTTATAACACACTCTTACTTTGGGCATCGGAGAATTTATGCACTTCTGGGGGCATCTCGATGGACTGTAAGTTTTCCTCACAAATAGATGGGCTTATGAGTGCCATTTTATCAGATTTAAAATTAGGCTTCAGATTTAATTCTGTACCATACTTGGCAATGGGAGGAGTCTGACTTTTCTGCTTACATGCCTTGAAATGAATCAATGATGATTTGTTTCCCCTCCTTTTCTCCCCCTCTTTACCTTGAAAGCCAGGTAACGGATGAAGCAGAGCCAGAGTGATTTTCAAGTGTCATCCTTTTGTGTGAGGGTGACTTATGGAAACCCCCCAGGCTAGAGGTTCTGAATGCCTCTACGCAAAGCAAAGAAGACAGACAACAGAATGATCTCAGGGTGTAAAACTATGCTTGCTTGTGTGGGATTTGATTTAAGCTATTTTTGAACTGCCAGTTCGTTGTTTCAAAAGGCATACCTGCACAGAACCAGTTGTGGTCAAGAAGCTGATTAGCGAAAGAATGTTCTTCAGTTTCTGGAAATCCTATATAAAGAACCATCATGGTTTTTGTTAAGAATAAGATTACCCATGAGTTACCGAAACCCATCCTGCTTTAGTGAAGAGAAGGTTTGGAGGAGAAATAACTCAAGGATGGGGAAAGGATCTAGGAAGAAACCTAGAAAAATAGAGATTCTGAGAGAAATATGTCTCTTAAGCAGAACTTAGAAAGAGATGAGAATCCCTAAGATTAAGAGGATCCTTATAATTTTAGTATTGAAGAGAAATGGGATCTCTGAGACAGGAGAATCAGGTGGTCATTGCAGGCATAAACTGAAAGCACATTTCCTGGCATCTCTACCTGCTACCTGTGTGTCTGTGGCCAAGTTATTCAACCTCTCTATAACCCATTTTCTGCATCTGTTAAAATGAAGATAAAGTACCTATCTCAAGGGGCTTAAATGAGGATTACATGAAATAATGTATAAGTAGACAAAGTACTTGGCATAGTGTCTGAAATATTATAAATGCTCAATAAATGACAGCTTTTATTAGTTTATAAACTAGAATTTCAATCTTTATCACTGCAGTAGAAATAGGCGTGACTGTGGATTTGAGAGAGTCAGGCAGGGGAATGTACCATGGACAAGGGCCTCCCAGCCCCACGTGCAATGCCTGACGCATAAGAGGTATTCAATAAATTTCTCTCAAGGGATGAATCACATAGATCAGGTCTTTCAGTACGTTGAGATGGGACTGAGCTTCACTTGCCGAATGTTTTTTGGCTACTTTCTGAAATACCCAGTAGAAATAGTAAGGTTATCCCACTGGTCTTGTTAAGCCAAGAAACACAGATGAACAGACATTCTGGAACACAGGGTATGATCAAGTCAGTTCTAGGTTGTCACTATGCACCCATCCTCACCATGTATCCTGACCAGTGATCTTGCCTAAAGCTCCTGTGGGAATTGCTCTGCTTTGGCCTGTTTATATCAGACTTCCTCAGCATAAGGATAAGTCACTAATGAAGGTTGTAACGTGGGACTGGGTATCTGGCTTCTTTGCCAGACTCCGTATGGACATTCTGGGGTGGCAAGGTCAAGGGAAAGATGTAGAGACATGAGCAGTAAACAGGCAAGATGCCACCATACTCTCTCCACTTTATCCCCTGCCACTGGCATGGATAGAGAGCTAGAGGCAAAGCAAGGGATGCATGCCATTCAATAGCATAAGGAGAGGAAGGAAGGAAGAAAGGGTCAGGAAGGGGAAGGAAAGGAAACTCACTTTTACAAAGCCAGGCTCAAATCCCATGTGCTCAAGAAATAATTGTTACCTGAGTTGTGATATAATCAAATAAGCAATAATCATTTAATTCATTGTCACTTTATGCCATGAAGCTTCATAAAAATGGATTGGATAATGAGGCAGGAAAAGGAATTATGGAATAGAAGCTGTTCTCCCTGACTGTGAGCCCCTGTTCTGGCTGAAAAATATACAGAGGTCCATCAGGGTAGAAAAGGAACAATCCCAAACCCCTCCAGGGAGTAGGAGGGTGCCTAGGACATACAAAGTGGGTTGTTCACTCTAAAGGGACTTGTCCAGGCTCTACTTCTTGGGACGGGGTTTGCAGTAGGCCCTAGATGACCTTCAAGGAATATCTGGATTTTGACATGTAGACCTGGGTCTTGTTGGAATCATTGTAGATTCCTATTGTAGTTATGGTGTGGATTTAAGCTGCATCTCTAAACACAGGTGCTAATTCCATTGTCTCTAAATGCATAGAATTGATAATTAAGGGGAGGGAGTTAATATTTTTCAGCATCTTTTGTGTGCTTGGCACTGTGCTAGATGCATCTCATTTAATCCTTCAATAGCACTGGGAAATAGATATTATTTCCATTTTACACATGAAGAAACGGAGGCTCAGAGAGGGCCTTGCTGAGAGTCGTGCAGCTAAGGATTGGTAGAGCTAGGATTACGAACTAGCTCCACCTGCTCTTTCCTCTGTAAAAGAGAGATTCAGAAACTGGCCGGGGGAGGGTGTCAAAAATGAAGTTGTGGGCTTCCCTGGTGGCGCAGTGGTTGAGAGTCCGCCTGCCGATGCAGGGGACACGGGTTCGTGCCCCGGTCCGGGAAGATCCCACGTGCGGCGGAGCGGCTAGGCCCGTGAGCCATGGCCGCTGAGCCTGCGCGTCTGGAGCCTGTGCTCCGCAACGGGAGAGGCCACAACAGTGCGAGGCCCGCGTACCGCAAAAAATA